TTGTAGACCACGCATCACAGCTACTCTACTTTTCTCTTTACCACTGCAAATTAGAGGTGTAAACTGCTTCGGTTTTCGCCGGGTAGCGTGTCTACCGTATTCGCCGAGCTACAAGCTTCCCACATGCAACCACAAACTGGAGAAATACGAGGCGCCACGATGTAAATAGAGACTTACAGGTTACAGGTTACAGACACTGAATTCTAAATTCGGTGTCCTGCCGATGGACACGTGGCGAGCTTGCAGAATTAATTTCTTGTGCCACGACTCTTCATCTTCTTCTTCTTATTTCTGGCACTCGGCCACGGTGTAAGACCGTGCAGTCTCATTGACCACTAAGCCGACACGGCCAAGACGAACCTTTAGTCCTCCATAAATGTAACACGCTACACTGCCGCTCCCTTGCGGCGAAAAGTCAAGGAAGGAGAGCGGCCGATTTGAAGGCCGCTAAGAGGAGACGGCAAAGTTTAGGCTTGGGATTAGCGATCAAAGGAAAGATGTTCGGAGGGTCAGAAGGAGAATTGTGCCACGACTCGTCCGTTGCTGTAAATAATGGCCGCGTTCAGCAGACACAACTGTTGAGTGAGCGCTCAGTATGATTGGTTAATACTTTTAGATCCAGCCAATCATATTAAGGATCTAAAAGTGTTAACCAATCATACTGAGCGCTCACTCAACAGTTGTGTCTGCTGAACGCGGCCAATGCGTTCCGAAATTTCACTCCAGCCGTACCAGCGGCAGATAGGGACTAGAGTCTAAAGGCGGGAGCACATAAAAGTACAGGACCCATGGCAGAAGTCATGGAGCATGCGCAGGCTGGGATCTAAAAACTGCATTCGTTTATGCAGCTCTTAGCGCATCCACTGCGTCTCTCATCTGCTAATCACGTGACGTAATTTACCGAACGGACAACTGCGTGAACGACTGCTCGGACGTTTGACTCCTCCCATTTGTTTAGAGGTTAAGTGTTAATTATTTAAATTTGGAGAAAATATGATAATGATCTTAATTATATAAATTATATCTTTAAACACATTTTATTTTAAAAAAATTCTCCTTTCAGAAACCATAATGATGATTAATATTATATTATTCATACAATGGACTTGATCGACAGTAGCTCATCAGATTCTGATTTATGGTCAGATAGCTCTGATGAAGAGCTACTATTATTAGATGATACGGTATTGTTTATTTCATTTATTAATTCAGATAACATATTAAAAGTTTTAAATAAATGGTATTATAGAAGATGAAAAATAATATATAGAGCTTATAGTGATCCACAAAGGATACTAAGCATATATTCCAAGATTAATAATAAGATCGTGACAAACAATTTGACTCATAATCCAGACTTAAGCCCGCTGCAGACGATGCTATTTTTCCTGCTGGATTGCTTGCAATCTAATAAATTACTATCGTTGCACCATTCAGCACTCAGGATTCCATAGTATAATTTAGTAAATCGCAAGCAATCCAGCAGGAAAAATAGCATCGTCTGCAGCGGGCTTTATTTAAGAATTTTAATTTTAATTTTAATTTTTTTTTCTAGTTTTCCATATAACTTATCTTGCATTACTTTCAGTTTTATAGGATCGATTTGAAGCAGGTGATCTTCACCTTTTTGGTTTTTTATTTTTATAAAATAACTCATTTTCAATTAAAAGATGCTCAACATAAATTCGACGTTAATGATGGATAGCACTAAACAGACAATTCTTGCAGTTTTACATTTATTTACGCAGTACTGCAAGCAGAGCAGGACCTCCGAAGTAGCTGCGCAGATAGGATGCATCTCTGCGTAAACGAACGACAAACTGCACTGCAGTCGTTTTCGCAGGCAGAGTAAACGAACTACATCTGTTGCAGTCACTGCGTAAACGAATGCACCCAAAGTATTGACCAATCATACTGGGCGCTCACTCTACAGTTGTGTCCGCTGAACGCGGCCATAGTGTATGTACACTTTGACTGTATCTCTATAGTCAAAAGAGTGTATACGCGAACAGACCTTCCGAGTACTTCCGAGAACTCGCGGAACTGTAAACGCTCTCAGCACCGCCTGTAGGCTACACAGTGTATTACCTTTCAATAACATGTGCTCAGGTTAGGTGAGGTTAGATTATTGAAACCTCGATGTGTACACGAGTAGATCTGTAGTAACGTGTATAATATTTCATACCGTTTGAAAAGACAGTGTTACTAATTAATATTAAGTATCCGAACTTTATTGGATGAGTTAATGTTATTATAGTGTAATTATAACAATATTATTATTATATAATTACCCTGTATCCTACCGCACCCTGTATCCTACCGCACCCTGTTGAATATTTTGTTACAGTGAGAAAATGGGCAGTTTAATGGGCATACGTTTCTGCACCAATACTCAGTTGAGAAATTGTGCAGTAATTTCAGCATTCAAGCCGATAAAAAAATATATATATCATTGTTCGTCGAATAACGGGATACAACGTCTTCAGAGCCGGCAAAAGTCTCCACAGATAAATCAGTGTTGTGACAGTTTTCATTTTTTACCTTGTAAATGCATCAGAGTGGATAATGCGAGACACTTTTCGACGGCCTCTGTGTTGGCGAAAAACAAAAACCGTGGCGAAAAGAAGCAAAAGCCACAGCATATTGATTATAATGAGTTTGAGCAAGTCGTCGATACAAATAAATTAATATCTCAATTCGACAAGACAATCGAAGACTTAAAATCTGACTTCACTCAGCACTTGTCAGTAAGATCGAGTATGGGTGCCATTGAGATGTTGCCCATTAAATTTGAGGGCAAGGATTACACATTGCAAGAGTTTGCGCAAATTAGTCGTAAACCTAAATTGGTAGTGCTGAATGTATCTACTTTCCCGCAAGCTATTCCAGATATTCTGAAAAGCATTGCGAGAAACCAGATGAATCTAAATCCGCAACAAGATGGGACTACAATTTATATTCCTATTCCTAAGTAAGTTTTCTTACAGAAACTTAACAATTAGAACTAAACAAAACCATCTTGGCTCAGATTAATGCAAATACTTACATACAGGATTTTTACATTACAGGGTAACAAAGGAACACAGAGAAACTTTATCTAAGAATGCAAAAAACTTTTATGTAAAATGCTGCGACCATATCAGAGACGTACGCAATAAACAAATTAAGATAGTAAAGCAAAAAGAAAAACTGGCTAAAGATTTAGTATTCAGAGTAGAAAATTATATAGACATTCTTAGTCATCAGTATACGAGTAAAGCTGAACAAATGCTCGAAACCAAACAAAAAGAGTTATTAGGTGATTCTGAATAAAATTATTTGATTTCAACAATTTGCAATTTCAGATTTGAATTATGCTGCTAATAGTTGTATGCAAATGTAATATTAATATACATAATGTATATATAATATTTAATTAAGTAATAAAAAGACATATACATTCACTTTTTAAAAGTATGTTTTCTGTCCACTTCTTTTATACATATAAACTAATGCTACAAAGATTCCAACGTCTTGTAGCTTTATTTTACTATAATTGCAGATACGTTTGTCATTGTAATACTACATCTTTTGTGCATATACCACTAACCCTTTATACAGATCTAATGTAAGTTCCTGATTATTATTTATCGGTCTATAGCGAATCTTTCTTTTCATATATTCATGTATAAGTTCATCCTTGTATTGTATTATCAAATCTCCCGGCATGTCCTCGAGAAATGCCAAGATGGATAACACCGATTCTGTTAAAAAATTAGATTATAAAATTAAAGTATATATAAATGTTGACGTTACATCACAATTTTAATAAACGAGATGTTATGACGAAAAATCTTCAAAGAATTAACAATATTTTATATTATAGGTAATATTTCATAAAAGTACTTTTTGCATATTATGAATATGACTTACTCAAAAACTGTTCAGATTTTTCTTCTGAATAGCTCGTCTCCCGAAGACTGCAGTGGTGAACTGTAAATCCGACACTTTCAAGCGATTCTTTTAACTCTTTACGAGGATTGTTTGATTTATGATACGGTGCAACGTTTCTCATTGCATCCTGTATCAACATAAAAGTAAAAATCGATTAACATTTTATAGCGCAAAAGAGTTATAAAATAATAACGCCTATAATAAAAATAAATAATAAGTTCAAATAATCAAAATAATAATTTAATAATGAACTTACCGGTATATATTGTGCAAAACGGATATCCTGAGCCATCATTTTGAGGACGTCAAACATATCATTAAATGCAGATATGTAAAAAAGTATAGTTCCCTTAGGTCGTAGCATTTGATAGATGTTCTTAAAAGCTTGCCTGTTAAGCAAAATATATGTAATTAATTTAAAAGAAATACACTTCTCAACAAAATTAGAAAATCACTTACAATGAATCCAAAACAGGACCAAATTTAAACTCATGTATCTTTGCCAAAAATGATTATATTGCAATATTCAAAAAAAATATTTTAAAGCGTGAAACCTCAGCTTTCCAATGTCTATAGGTTCGTTTCTCTACAATAATTTTGCTACAGGTGACGCTACTTTAAAATCAATCTTGAAAAATTGCAAACTAAACTTTAAAATTTCCATAGCGTGCGCAGATAGAATAAAAATTTTTGCTCCAAATAGCTTTGCTCTTGTAATGAAGACTCAACATTTTCTCTTTAAAATAAACTCTTGATCATTAAAGTTGTCGATGATAATTTTTTCACTTGAGCTATGTATAGACACTTATTAAAATATTCTTGAATGGCAAATTTTTTAAATGTAATTATTTAAAATATACAATTTATTTTGCATTCTATAATTTTTCATATTAAACCATTATGTTGCTATAGAAATGTCGAGAAATATATTATGGGCGACAATAATGTTAAAACATAAAGCAATGCAAATAATGCAATATGCATCAATTGATTTAAAACTTGTTCTGTTTGAAAAGTAACACATGTACAGGTACAATAGGTTTGCAAATAAAATTAATTTACATTTATTTAAAAAGTTTAGCAACAAGGTTTATTTATTAATTAAAGTCGAAATATGTTTTATTTTAAAATATTTTAAATATCTTGCTTACCGAATATCGTTGCACCAATGCAAAGCGTGAAACGAAAATATGTGATCAAATTCAGAAATATATTTCTTAGGCAAGTTTTCAGTTGCAGCATCCAATACTTCAAATTGGAGCCGTTTCCTGTCACCAAATGTTTTATTCGCATATTCGATCATGCTCTCCGAAATGTCCGTACCTAAACAAAAACACAATCATCAAATTAAATAATCAGTAATTAAATATAATCACTTAAAATATTGATCTGTTATTATATTTTCAGAAATGATCAGCCTTTACCTATTATTTCTACATTCGGACCAAGAAGCGGTAATAATAAATCCTTCGTTATGTCTCCAGGACCGCAACCAATGTCCATACATTTTCCACATATATTTACTAAATCCTCGCTAAACTCCTCAATTATAGGTAATATGTTGTACTTTTGTACTTTGTTAGATACACTATAGTCTTGTGGATTTGTCATGACTTGACAACTTTAGCACCACAGTTTCGGAAGCAATGCGCTGCGGTATTATGTGAGCAGGTTTATATACACCATGATATCAAATGGAGTGAGAGAGAATTTTATGCCCTGCGGGAAAGAATTCATTATCATCATCCAATTCTTTTTACTTTAACGGAGAGCATACGTGGTAATAAGAGAAACTGACCCTGGTAGGAGATGGAGGGGATAACTCCCGTGTTGTACAGCTAGATACTGTGTTTAGGAGTTGCGACTTCGGGTAAAGGTCTATCTACATAAGACGCAGGACGCGGGTCGCAAGTCGCAGAACGCGGAACGCAAGTCGCAGGTCGTAAGACTTTTGCGTCTATATATGTATAATCCACATAGATACGCAGCGAGCTCTCTGCGTCAAAAGAAAAATGAATAAAATGCCAATCAGAACATAAATGTCATAACTTCTCTTTCAGAAGCAACGACTATCATTAAGAATTGTGAAAGAAATATATAACATGAATACAAGGAGACGCAAGTTATTATTGCTGTGTAAGTTTAAGTTATCTGTCCATACCAAATTTTTTTGGTCTTGGTTTTTATATGTTTTGGTACTTTTGGCGTACAAACCAGGATTTGTTTTTACTTTATAAATTAAATCCCGCGTTGCCGCGGAATCCCAATTATATACCATTTTTTTCTCAAAAATACTTAATTTCTCGCCTCGACGAGATCCTACGATATACGAGAATATTTGACAGTTGCCGCGATATGACAAGATTTGTCCTGATTGGCTGGTCGCTTCGACGCAGGACGCGAAAGTTGAAATTCGCCCAACTTCTGTGCGTCCTGCGTATTGAAGCCTGCGGCTTGTTGCGGCCGGAAATACGCTTTTTGAGAATTTTTGAGAATGACCATTTTTGAAAAAAAAAATGGTATATAATTGGGATTCCGTGGCAACGGGGGATTTAATTTATAAAGTAAAAACAAATCCTGGTTTGTACGCCAAAAGTGCCAAAACATATAAAAACCAAGACCAAAAAAATTTGGTATGGACAGATAACTTAAACTTACACAGCAATAATAACTTGCGTCTCCTTGTATTCATGTTATATATTTCTTTCACAATTCTTAATGATAGTCGTTGCTTCTGAAAGAGAAGTTATGACATTTATGTTTTGATTGGCATTTTATTCATTTTTCTTTTGACGCAGAGATTTCGCTGCGTATCTATGTGGATTATACATATATAGACGCAAAAGTCTTACGACCTGCGACTTGCGTTCCGCGTTCTGCGACTTGCGACCCGCGTCCTGCGTCTTATGTAGATAGACCTTTAATGCAGAGCACATAACTTCCTCTCGGGCAAGTTGGCGTTATTCGAGATACGACGTTCAACTCCGACAGAGACAAATTTTGTCTTATAAAATAAAATATATAGAAATATAAATATACAGGGTGGCTCATTTTAATCAATCCACTCAAATATCTCAAGACGCGTAAGTTCCAGAAGGAAACTTTTCAGACTTTAAGTTGTAAGGTTTTCAAGTAACGCATTACATAGCAATATCAGCATGACCTTGAATAGCATTGTCAAGGTCACGTCAAGGTAATAATATGTAATTTTTGTGTATTGTAACACAAAATTTACATACACAAAAATTTTCAATAATTGAAGCACTATTGCAACAGCACATTCCTAAATATATCTCGATAACTTTGTCGGAGGGAAAAGTAGCACAGGAATTTTTTACTTTATTTGATCTCAGGAATATGCTGTTGCAATAATGCTCCAATTATTGAAAAAATAAAAACATTTTAAACTATTTTTATAATTAAGGCCTAACAACACTCTAGAGCACAAAAAAGCCAATTTTCAGTGATTTTTTTTTTAGGAATATAATAAACGTAAATGAAAATCTGAGAAGAAGGTTTTCGGTTGATCGCAAAGCCACTTTTGCACCGCTTCTTGTACGTCTACGTCTGTAGAAAATCGACGACCTCGCAAAGCATCCTTGAGCGGCCCAAACAGATGAAAGTCGGAGGAAGCAAGGTCTGGGCTGCAGGAAGCGGTGCAAAAGTAGCTTTGCGACCAACCGAAAACCTTCTTGGAAGAAATACGCAACCTTGTGGACCGCTGGACGGTGGAAGTTCGTTGCCATGAGAGGAGACTATGTTGAAAAATGATGTACACATTGAACTATTTTTGTGTAAATAAATTGTAGAACGAAAAGTGCAGATAATTTTTTACTCACCCTCGTACATATGTATGTATAATAATAAATTATATATACGCGTACAGCACATAGATATATGTATAAATATGTGCGTGCGTACGTGCGTGTATTTTTATATTATATTTAAATATAGAAAAATCCATTCTTGGTCTGTGTACTTTTGTTTGAAATAACCATCTTATTTTTTATTAATTACTAACGACAATAAGCATTGTTACATTATCCTATTTAAATATATTTAAAAATTAGTTTTAAAAATAAATTAAAATTAAATTGAAAATTCTAAGATGGAAAAATTTTTTAAAAGTAAAATAAGGCAAAATAACAAAAATCTTTTTTAATTCTCTCTTACGTGCTATTGTGTGACATAGTGCAGTCAAGTATCTTTTACATAATTATTTGAATTCTCTTTGTTTGCAAGAGATACGGGCCACGCCGAATTATACATAATTGACTGCTCAGGGCTGTAATAAATTTAAGATAACAGAAATAAGATAGCAGAAATTTCTTCTTTGTGATTTGTAAAATGCATTTACAAGTGATAAAAAGGTGTCGTGATAATTTATAGCAATTTTAACACCGCTCAATCAAACGACATCCGCAGTTAAATGATATGTTGTTGAAAATTTTGGCACTAACTCTCTAAAGTTCTTGGGGTGAAAAGCCATGGAGTGAAATATTCACCCTATGGAGTACTCCAACAGAGTAAATATTTACTCCACTAGAGTGAATATTTCACTCCAAAAATTTTAGAGGGAATATAAGCTTCGCTATTTAAAATACTGTTTTAAAATTGTTCATTACTTTGCCTGGACTAAATCAAATATGTAATATTTATTGGCGAGATAAAAGTATTTTATGCTACATATTTTTCAAACTATTTTCACTGAAAATACCATTTATATTATGTAAAAAATATACACTTACACATTTATATATGTATATTTAATACATATAATATAGTTTTACTTTACGAGACAAAATTTGTCTGTATTTAGAGTTGAACGTATAAACAACGCCAACTCACCCAAGCGAAAGTAGGAGAGACAAAAGTCATGTCTGTCTCCTTCTACTATCTGACATTAAAGTCTTAAGCACACACGTGCACAGTAGCTTATGTGCGGCACGGGAGTCATTGGATCAATGTATCTGCATTGTCCTTCTCAAGCATGTATTAAGG